AATCGCGAGGTTTTTAAACAGCATACATTTACTTCCATAGAAAAACACAATGCAATACAACACTAGCTGACGTTTCGGCAGTATCGCCTTCTTCAGAACCTGGAAGGGTATACTGATATACAACCTACTAGGCCAAACGCTTCAATGACACTTACAAAAAGACGAAGAACTCTCCGGTAATTTTTTGATGTGGGATGGCGCAGTCGTCAACCACATGCGACTATAGTCAGCTGTTCTAAACTTCCTCATTGGAAGTCATGAAAAAGCGGTGGGTTTTTTCAAGAAGTTGTTGATTATGTAATTACAATAGAGTTTTTCGTCTTTCTGTAAGTGTTATTGAAGCGTTTGGCCTAGTAGATTGTATATCAGCATACCCTTCCAGGCTCTGAAGAAGGCGATACTGCCGAAACGTCAGCTAGTGTTGTGTTGCATTGTGTTTTTCTATGGAAGTAAATGTATGCTGTTTAAAAACCTCGCGATTGCTGAAGAAGAAAACGACACATTCTTAAAAATTTCATTTTTAAAATTTTTAAGGGCGTGTGTACCGCAGTGGTCGGAGGCATTTTGCAACACACACGTAGGATCGATCCACGCGCCCATGTGCCACCAAGCCTTCCATCCTTCAGGGGTTGGAAAATTGGTACCAGACTTGTCTGGCAGGATAACAACACTGGCTCAATAGAACGTTAGGCCACCGCGACTCATTGTAAACGCCAGATATGCATTCAATCACCTCCAAACGATGCTTAATGAAGTCGAATACATGGTGCGTCACTCAGGGATTGACAAACGCCGAGAACTTCAGAATTTCTTCAACTGAAAATTTCAGCAAATATTATCGTAATTTAGAGCGTTACAGAAGATGTGGGAAACCGTTGAATTCATTTCACCATTTCATATCTTTGGTTTAGTTCTGGAGAGAAAAACGAATATCGCTTGCATTCCGAAAAACACTTTGGGACCAGGACAACACGAGTCATTTAGAATCTATACAACGCAAAGGAAAAAAGTCAAATTGCTAAGATGTTTCAAAGTTCGTTTGACCTCAAAAGTATCAATGAAAATGTTAATAAATCAGCGTAAAGTAAGGTGATACTTCACAAAAGAAAGCGCGGACAATTGAAATACAGAAACAGTCGTATGTGATAGTCATGAGAATCTCTACCTTTGTGGATGTATTATAAGTTGGTCGCCACGTAGCAAGAATAGCTGTTGATTCAGCAAAATATTGGCACAGCTGTTGATGTATCTGATATCTGACACTTGACAGTTGATTGACCTATCATTTGCATTAGCGGGAAAGATTCTTGCGAGGTTACGCCGGAAGAAGGTCGTCCTAACCTGACGGCTCCCACACATACCACACTACCCACCCAGATCAGACACAAAGGGACGCGCTCAGCAAGAGACCCTGTTACACCTTGACGAGCCTTCAGTGTATGGGAGGGAATACGACGATTATTGTTAGTCACTAGGAAATCGTCCGAGGACGATAGCCCCGTGTAATGCGGTTGATAGCGCGATTTGCTCAGCGAAGAAATCAGATTTTGGCGCTCAAGATTGAATTCACTGCCCAGTCGAAATTCTCAGCCAACTCTTTTCTTTAAGAAGTTCCAAACAAAAAAATCTACTGCTAAAAAGGCATGAATTCCTCTGCTGATCATTAAGGACTATAGGCATCACAAAAAGTGTTGGTTAGGCAAAGCAACCGAGTTGCATTAATAGTTTCCGAGTAACCGTAATTGAATTCTCTCCGAACACCAACGACTCGTTCTGAGCTGGGCCATGTAATCACAAACATTCCTACATTCATTGTTCATGTTTGAAGCAGTTCGAATAACCCCGGGTTTTTGATGTTTCGAATAATCGAGTGTCCTCTTGTTTTTCATCTGTAATGCGGGCAGGTACTAGTACGTGTTACCATCCACCTCTTATGCATGTCATAGATGACCAGTTCTAGTAATCCGAGAGCCACTTTAATCGTATGGGATCTGCACACATTCAAAAGAGCACATAGTACGGATATATATAAGACGATGATTAGCGTTAGCCTGCAGTTCGCACGTGGTCACTCGTTCGATCCTGCGCCCTGAGTAAACGAAGATCTCCATTATTAAGGGGTCGGAAAATTGGCACCAGACTCATCTGGGAGGATAAAAACGCTGATTTAACAAAGTGAGAGCCAACCGCAAGCAATTATATAGATCGAACATCCATTAAATGATCTTTAATCACGAGTAGAATGCAATGCATGCCGAATCCCTTTGGGACTGATCAAGGCCAAACTGTCTACGCCGTATTTACAGTTATCGTATGCTCTTCATGAGAAGATGTCGAAAAACCATCGTTAGATGGTATCAAATGTTATCACCTTGTCAATTCTCTCTCTACGACGATAATGATCTTATTATATAATTGCAAAATTCACTTGTTAAGCCACCAGGTGCTTACGAAGAACGACTGTGCGCTGAGTAAGAGTAAAGCTGTCCAGATATTCCAGAATTGCTTCATTTGAATTGAATTAAAAGGCTTTTTTAGCTCGGTAAAAGTGTAGTGAAGTGGATTGCTCTACTCTCGCTGCTACGGTTTTCACCATTGAGATGCTCTGTCGGAGTTGCGAAGAAAGAATGGTTTAGATAAGGCATCCATTCTAGTGTGAAGCAAATGGAATCAACTGCCGAAGATATCGGAGAAGTAATAGACTATCTTCACAACTACAATGATGCTGAGGTATTTGCAAAACTCCAGGCCGCAGTTGCCTGCGGTGGAGAACGAATGAGCTATTACCCTTTCCGGGGGCTAACGCGTTCACCACCACATCATGCGTGTCCTTCGTTTCGCCTGTCTCTCAGCTACTTCTATCGATCAGTACCATCAGCAATCACTCATCAACGGGATTGATCTGGAAATCCTAAATCGACAATGAACCCTGTTAAACTGAGGCTGTAGTCTAAATCGCTATGCTATCCTTTCATTTACTGCTTCTTACAACTTTTCTCGGCTGGGTATTATGTGTGACTCAACCACAATGATGCTGAGATAACCACAACGTTGCTGAGATATTTGCAAAACGCCGGACCGCAGGTGACTACGGTGGGGAGCGAACGTGCTATTACTCTTTCTTGGGGCTAACGCGTTCACTTCTATCGATCAGCGCCATCAGTAATCACCCGTCAACGGAACTGATCTGGAGAGCCCACATCGGCACCCAGTTAAGCTGAGGCTGTAGTTGAAAACACAATGTTTTTTACTTTTTACTTTCTGCCTACTACAATTTTTACGGCAGGGTATTAAGTGAAACACAACCACAACGTTGGTGATATATTTGCAAAACTCCGAACGGCAGGTGTCTGCGGTGTGAAACGAACGCGCTATTAGCCTTTCCGGGGTCTAACGCGTTCACCACCACACCATGCGTGCCCTTCGCTTTGCCCGTCTCTTAGCTAGTTCTATCGATCAATACCATCAGCAATCATCCGTTCTTATACACAATATCTTCACAATTATTGATGCAGCAACTATATTGGTCGACTGGCAGTCAGTATTAGAAAGTCCTTGCGAAAGTTGCGAGCGCTTTTCCAAGGCGATGTAGCTTTGGCCAATAATTTTCGTTTACCATCTCTCTACAGAGATATGCAAATTCAGGCGGAATAAATGTGTTCCGGCGTCTCATTCCGTTCTACATTGGGCAGACTGGTACCAGACTTGTCTAGAAAGATAGCAACACTGGTTCGATACATCGGTAGGCCACCCCGGGTCATCGTAAAGGCCAAATATGCCTTCACACACATCCGACGATGCTTAGTGAAATCGAATGCAGGTACATTTCTCAGGGATTGATCAACTCCGTGAGCTATATCATTTTTATCCTTTAATATATTTCGCTATATTTATATATTTGTGGCTATGCTCGTTTTTCGCCAAACAGCGACAATTTCTCACAGTTTTATAGGTAAACATTCTTTCAGTTTTATATGTTTGGAAAGTCAATGCACGAAAAACTTGAAACCGAGTGTAGTTCTCTAAAAATTCTAGAGCAAGCGCGGCAACCGCAAACAAAATTGATATAATGGGAAACACCATAGTGTCCTGCAAAACGAAATCCCGTTAGTTCAACTACTTTCGCGTTCGAAGCACGACCTTCACGCAGACGAAGCAGCAAAACATGTGTTTAATGGGCTTCAGAAAATCAGAACTTCACCTTGACAGAATGAGAGTACTTGCATATTGTGAACAAAGATTTCTATGTCCCAGTGATTTGTATTTCAATAATAAGGTTAGACATCAGCTTCCTAATGTTCGTTCAACCCATAGAGTACGGTTTGGACACCCTAGTGCCGGCATGCGTTTGGACCAGTGGACGATATGGAAACTACGGTATCCACTTTCAGTTTAGCGCGTTCCAGAAATTTTTCACCACACTTCGTATATTCATTCGACATCTAATCGAAAGCAGATCACAATGGCATGGGTTAGACCAGATAAATGATCCTCTGTACTTAATGATTTACAAGAAACGCTTCTTTTCGGAAAATTTATTGGCCGATAATTCGACTAGCAATTAACTGCTATTTCATTCTAATAGCTTTGGTCATTGTATGGAATGTGCCAACATGAAAAAAACGCCGAAATAGACTCAAAATGCGTGCGAAGTACTTTAAGGTGCCGACAGCGATGTATTAGCATAACGGACCATGGTAACATACAGTAAGTAGTGACGTCATCCAAACTCGTAAAACGACAAAATCTCCTCTGGAATTCTAACATGTTCGCAATCACTAAAGCACTCTAGTTATTGAGTAAAGAATTACTGTTACCGAAAAATCAGAAAACCTGAAGTCGACGGAAAATTGCTCGTATTCCATTCGAAAGGTCGCGGCTGCCCCGCTAGACAGCGCGCGTCCGTTATGGGAGAAGTAGACGATGTATTCTCAACAAATCCTTTGCGGACGGCCATTTGTGTTGAAATTCCCTAACTTTCACATGCCATCGAAATTTATTTAAAACTTCCATAATGACAGTTTTTCGTCCTTTGAGGCGGCAATTACTAGATCCACTCCGTTGACCTGCTCCCAAAGCAACTGAGAAATGGTCTGAGTGTGTAGGTCGAGGTAGAGTAGAACAGTGTTCTTACGCACAGAAAACGCTCGTATGGATCCGTCCCAGAAACCGGCTATAAGTGTTTTCCCGGATGTGGAAAATGCCATACTTCCCACGCCCTGTGATCTGAAATATGTAGTGGAAATACATCATGCAACTTCTACGATCGATGTAATTTTTTCATGACTATATGGTTTCTGAAGCAAAATGGTTTCTATACGGATTTAACAATGGCGAAACTAATAGACTTTATTTTATTTTGCTTATGTGATCCTACATCAGACATTATGTGCATCACAATACTTCCTCCACAGAGAGCTACCGATTCGCTGCTTGTGGGTTCGAATTGCAAGGAGGACCTTGCTTTGTTCACGAATACCGTTGAATGCTGCCCCACTAGGTTCTTACAGGAAGGAGCTTTATCCATACATGCCCTCCGATATCAATTTTCCAACTCTTGAGAAATCGAAAGAGAAAGGAGTTGATAGGGTCAACACCCATAAATGAATATTTCACAACATCTCTAACCAAGGTGCTCGCTCCCTCAAGGCAATTATGGAAGAATTTATTCCAACCTTTCTAGAAAGATTTTCAAATTTCCTAAGTTCCGTAAGTCATCTAGAAGTCAGGACCATATATAAAGACAAAGATTAAAGTCTATGAACCTGTAAAGCAGATTATCGATCTTCCTTCTTTTAACGCTTTAAGTATAAATCAGACGTTTAGCTACGAATTCGTAACGAATAATTCAATGAACAAACGCTTGTGGGTAGTGGATTTTCCTTTGTTCTTCTAAGATATCGCCCGTCAAGAGCAAAAGGATTGGAGGTTTAGATGATCCGCACGCTAAGGTAGATGAGGAACTTGCCAGACAAAATATCGGCTCAGAAAACAAACGCACCTACAACTTTATCATAATGCTATTTACAAAAAATATGAAAAAAAAGAAATGAGGGTATGAATAAAATTTTCGGTTCCAACCTGCTTCTGAAGATTTCTTTCGTCGGAAATCTGTAACAATGTACCCGCTTCATCTCCAATGAATATATCGTCGTCATTAGAAATTAATGCAATAGGAATATCTTTCAAAGCAACTGGACCTCGATCTTCTGAATTTTTCGACCAAAATTTGAGAAAGTGCTTTCCCGCCTGAATCACCACATATTAGGAGTTCAAGAACGAGTTCATAGTAATTACCTAAGAGCTGCTCGTACAGTGCAGGAAAATATGAGTTGAGAGACACCAAAATCAACCGCTGATAGCCCTAAACGATTGTGTGGATTACAACCACAAGATTGCTGAGATATTTGCAAAACTTCGGACCGCAGGTGTCTGCGGTGGGAACTAGCCGAGAGACAGGCGTAACGAAGGACACGCATGATGTGGTGGTGAGCGCGTTACTCCCCAGAAAGGACAATAGCGCGTTCGTTCCCCACCGCAGACACCTGAGGTGCGGAGCTTCGTAAATATCTCAGCAATCTCGTGGTTGTATTTCGCTTAATACCTTGCCATAAAAATTACAGAAAGCAGAAAATAAAAAGTAAAAGATTGTGTGTAGTGTTTATCACGTACATTGACAAAAAACGTTTAGTTAACATTTGAAGAGAAATCAACTCGTCGTTAAATTCAGTTTCTGGACGAATAAACAAGACCTCCCACAATACTGCTCTTCTACCTACTGCATATTGGGTTATCCGACTAAGAATTTTCAAATGATTCGAGCCAACAAATTGCCTTTACCTCAACGAAAACAACACCTACAATCACTAAGGTATCCGCTATCGCTTGAATCTATGGAAATATTTTTTTTTAGAAAACATATGTATGGAACATATGCAATTAATAAATAGATCATGTCAGCCGGAATGAAGTCGGGAAGCAAATAAACAACAGGAGCCGGAAAAATCCTCGGCAAAGTTCGAAAATTAGAAACTAGGTGAACTCAGGAGAATGGAAGTAGTCCACTAAGCTTCATAGAGAAATTCAACGAAGGCTACTCATCAAATCTAGAAGTTGGAGGCTCCCTTATCTTCTATCGGAAACACTTAAAATTAGGAAGACTATTGCAAAAGATTCTTTTCGTGTTAATTGGCATCTATCGGTACTCCTTCAAATCAATGACTGCAATAAATGAGTAGAACTAGAAAAAGGAATTACATAATCAAAACAACAAAATAGATTTCGTCCAGAAAGGACGTTCATCGTTAACTTGCATATGTAACTGTGGCAATGAGACTCGAAGTGGTAAAACGAAGAGTGGAATAGTTTAGCTCCAGCTTAGCTGCCAGCAGTACAGTCATGTAGCATTTCTCGAGCACACTCCTTTTTATGTTATTCCAATTTTATCTGGGTTTTTACTCATCGCCCTCGAGTCCATCCTATGTTTCAAAGCCAGTTTTGCGTGGACACAAAAATCAATCTACGCACGCCAATATGGGTAAAAGAAAGAAAACAAGGGGGATAATCTGGATAAGCATGGATTTGTGCAAAAATTAAAGGATATGTCAGAAACGTTTTCAGCACACATGTATCCAGTAACGGTCTACTATACAATGATAGCCTCGATGAATTGCATGTTGTAAACACCATTGACCGCTATAATGCAGTATAAAAATCAGAAATAGAGTTACCTAAAAACTATGTGCTTAATTTAAAGTATTATTTACTGCCTACTCTTTTTAACGGCAGCGTATACATTGTGAAATATAACTTCAATGATGCTGAGATATTTGCAAAACTCCGGACCGCAGGTGTATGCGGTGGGGAACGAACGCGCTATTGTCCTTACCGGGGAGTGGCGCACTTCACCATCACACCATCGGGTCTTTCGCTTTGCCTGACGGCCTCAGCCTAACTGGGTTCGTTGCCGATTTGGGCCTCTCAGATCAATCCCGTTGACGGGTGAATGCTGATGGCAAAAGATCGATAGAACTAGCCGAGAAACAAGCAAAACGAAGGACCCGGATGGTGTGGTGGTGAAGTGCGCTACTCTACGGTAAGGAAAATAGCGCGTTCGTTCCTCACCGCATACACTTGCGGTCCGGAGTGTTGCAAATATCTCAGCATCATTGAAGTTATATTTCACACTATGTGCTTAATCATTCAAAGCTAAATCTTCAAACTGAACCATTACAATGCTGAGATATTCGCAAAACTTGACTGCAGACCACAACTGGACTAACGATTACCCATTTCCGGGACATTGTAATTTCGACTAGCGACTTAACTTGAATGGGTTCAATACCCGTTTGTGCTCTCGAGATCATTCCCGTTGACAAGTGATTGCTGACGGTACTCTCAAGGTAAAAAACTGGCTGAGCGAAAGGCTAAACAGCGACCTCAGTAGTGCGGTGGGTAACATGTGAACCTCGGGAAAGAGTAACCATGGGTTTGACTCTGGTCTAGGATCTAAGTTTTGAAAATGTCCCAGCATCACAGTGTGGTTCCCTCATATTTCAGATCATACTCTGTTCAAAGAAAATAATAATACACTAAACAAAGAAGTTAAACATCGTGATTCCTTCAAACTGAGTTACTTCTAGTCAAGAATTATGTTGAAATGAAATAAATACTGACGTCATCAGAAGCATATGTACGAAAGGGTTCTTAATAGATGGAGTAGAAATATTTTGGATATAAGGAAAAGAGCTGAAAGGGCTATAATGAAAACTGACCACTGTGTCAGGGTATGCGAGCCGCGAACCCATCACCGTTGCCATACAGAAACCACAATGAGATAAATGAATTGTGACTTGTGGCTTGTCGTTATCACCGAGTATTACGATAGCGTGATTCCGAACGTGAACCCATACGAAATCGCCTAGGACGCCGACCGACGAAATGGCACGTCGCTCGTCATCTACTGAAAAACAAAATGAATTGCTAATGATGACTTATGAATTCATGTTACCCACTAAAGAGGGCTCCACTTTTGACAGAACAACCACACACCACTAAATGTTTTAACTTTGCCAGATATCTATAGATTTTTGCACAGTTGTCACTTTGCACATCACTCTTCTTGTTTATGACCAGTACAAGATCACGAATGACCTTATTGTTTATCAACCAGAGTCATTTTTGTGCTCATTCTAAATGTAGCATTAACACAGTGACGATTGGCGACGAAGCCTAATTTCGTATGACTGGCGCACAGCACGACACGCAATTTCCGGCCGATCACCCAAGAGCCCTGTGTGAATCACTTCGGCCAAAGTGTACTCGCATAAAATGACCTTACCCTTTTTTCTGCACTGTTGCTTTATAATCCGGTTTTTTCAGTTGCTGTTAATTTCTATTTTCCATATCTTACGAACCTATGAATCCTCCCAACGGCTTGTCGCCTCATCGTGGCTGGGAGGTGTTCTTGCGTGTCGGACTGCGATGTACAGTGGGAATTCATCCCCTAGCAGGGTCTCCCAAGCTGAGGTGTCCGGCCTTTCCATCAGGAAGCCTAGCTAAGAGTAAACCAATACCAGGATCCACCGCCGTCCTGGTATCAAAGTCGCATGGTGGTAAATCTCGCTTTGATCCACAGGGGCTGCGACTGCCTATGGTGGTGAAGACCTGGCACGGACTTTTGCCAGGCTGACCTCGGGATTCCAGGGAACCACAATAGCTTAACCAGCAAATCTGCAGTATTCAGAAACTTCTGCAGCTGTTCCTTCTATTAAGTAATCGGTGAGTTGTTTGTTTTGTTTGTTTTACTAAGCGGTCTGTGACCCGTACATAAATGATAACTAAAAATCATAACATCTTCCTAACCTGAGCATACCCCGTGCAAAAAATCCCGGTTATCTACGTATTTAAGATATAACGAAAAGCTTACAAAACATCGAAAATGAAATGAAACGCCGTTAATCCAGATCTGAACGGATTTTCTAAAAAAAAGTTTTCTTTATATGGACGATAGAAATGTAAGATTCTTCTCATTTTCTAACCTTAAACCTCCGCTCCTGCTTTTCAATACTTTGCCGGAAAGCCTCTTAGTGCCTACTCAATTAAGCACAATAGCTGATTATACCGTTTACAATTCTCTTTAAGCGCGATGGAATATGGGATACATGGGGCCGTATGTTTGCTAGGTAACAATTAAATACCATATACAGTCCGAATGAAGACATGAGTATCTGCGTCGTACAACTCGCATCGTCCTTCACCAGTACCTACCAGTACTCCGTCACCATTGCCAGTACGGACCACTGCACACGAAACTGCTCCCCCCGAAAAGCCGCGATGCACGAAAACGGGCTGCGGTGGTGGTCGAGACATTGCTAAATGCAATCAGTACCTGGTACAATGAATTCATGAGTTCATCCGTATGTCATATTCAGATTGGTGATCGAATGAATTATTTGTGTAAATAAGTCCTAAGGAAATAACTATCACTTTGGCTAAGTTCTAGAAAAGCTCTGTGTTGATCAATCGCTAAGGGATGCTCCAATGATTCGACTTCATTAAGCATCGTTGTAGGTGACTGAATGCATATCCGGCCTTTACAATAACTCTCGGTGGCCTACGCATATTTGGAGCCATGCTGCTATCCTCCCAGCAAACCTTGCACCGTGGATCGATCCCGTGTAGTGCAAGGCGATTCCGACCATTGCGTTACCCTCGGGCCGTCACTTTGACTACGTATTAAAACACCGACTCTGACTATTGACTTAACAACACATGAACAGCAGTTACATAAACGATACTGGATCATTCAGTTGAACATCAGCGAGCTCAGTTCCGAAAGTAGCTCCAACCGCGAATGATCATAAACCCGGAAGATGAGATCTGTAAGCTCAATGCACAAAGGAAAGCTAATTCAACTTGAGAATCCATTGGGAATGGTCTTACCCAGAAAAAGTGGCTCAAACTATACTTGAGATTCAGAGTTAGAATTTGTGTTCTATGTATATATTCTAGGAAATATCCAAGAAAATCGTGAATTACATATATATTATCACAGAAATGAATTAGGAAGGAACAGGAAAGAGACCAGTGTAATGAAATAATCAAACTGGTGTAAAGCACTAATTATTCTGTTTTATCAACATAAACCTTAATTACAGTTCAACGAAAAGATCACACTTCTTGAGTCATTTGACAGTGGAATTGAAGAACAAAAAATAAACAGCAATAGAGACTAACAACTAAGAATGGTCTCAAATTCATCTGAATTATTAGGATCCCAGCAAAGATCAAATACATTTCATAAACTTGGACGATTAAGCATCTGTATAATATTGTATTCATTGTACTTATTCGCTATAACATAGCGAACATTGCTGAAAATTCTTTTCCTAGAATCATTAAAGAATTAACTTTTGGTGTCATTTAACAAATAACTACATACATACACGTATGGGAACAAAAACAGGTCTCATCAGAGATCAATTATTTGATGCAAGGCCACTTCTAATAGCAAATATGGTAAGCAATTGCTTCTATCGACAATCACGTTCACGCCGTTCCTTCTGAAAACCTTCCATTAAAAGAAAATATAATCCAAAATAACAAAAGAAAAATTAAGCTCAAAAATGTACGTGACGAGCACGTTTTCGAAACCTTAAAAACCCACCCTTTCGCGTTCTCTGTCGCGGTCTCGCCTGTCCAGCCGTATTCGCTCTCTTTCCTTGTCCTTATCCCTATCTTTATCATCTCTCGACTTTTCTTTCTTGTCATCTCGGTCTTTAATCATGTTGATGATAGCCGAGCTGAACAAAATACAACTTATACATGTAATGTGGCGTAAAGTTTGAAGAAAATAAAAACATTAGTTGGAGAAACTGCGACAATAAAAGGTGTAGAAAAACGTGTATTAGAATAGCAAAGTCATCTTACTTGATATTTTTCTGCTGATGGGTTGAGAGAGTGGGGAGGAATTCCTTCAGAGCTAATAGCGTTTCGGTACGGTTACAGTATCCGAGAAACTCTTCAAATTCCTCCATTGTGAATTTGGTTAGAATAGCCTAAAGAGAACTAATATCAATACAGTTGATACGCTTGTTATGCATTAGCAAAACATACCGAATATGCAACAGTTTTAAGACTATTGAGAGCTCGATAAAACGCCTTCCGTGCTATTTCGTCACGTGATGACTGGTCCTTTGCTATCACTTTTTGTACGATGTTTCCCAGAAAACTGTCCAACGAGGGGTACTATAATAAAAATAGTAAACAAACTTAAAATGTAATGTGAACGGCGAATTCTACTAGTAATGTCCTCAGCCCAGAAACCGACATATTTTCGATAATATCAAAGAGTATGTCAACCATCGTTTACTGCACAATATTTTATTGAAGATAACAGAAACGAGTAATTTTCGTTTCCATAAGAAGCAAAGTGTCGCAATAACATAAAAGAGCAAGATTAAACATCATTTATTATGATTTGTACTACCTATAATCCTCTTCCGCGGATCTCCTTCATGGAGATCTCACGTTAGTAAGTCGTGAGACAAAGTGGTGCATCCTTAGATGTCGAATAGGGGTTAATCGAGGACCGAAAGCGACCTTTTGCTTCCCTGAGGCACAGGTGGACCCAGAGGACGGGCTACCTGTTTCTGCTGTGCCAATTTGACGCCTATAACAACGTCTAAAGAACGCCACACTGGACCTATGGATTAAAATGGAATGACCAAGGTAACCAGCTGTCTGAGTTTACCATGATGATGATGATGAAGACCGTTCAAGGTAACTCACAACTCCCAAAGTTCCGTTCTCTATGATAGACGTGGGATTCTCCTAATGGAAAGTACTATAATAAAGTAGACCACATCACAGCAAATCGAAGGTTTTGCCTACCGACGTCGCTGTTGTCACAAAATTCTACACAGGATCAAATTATCGCCTACTTTGTACAAGATTTCATTTCTCGCGGAACAGAAAGAAAAAACCGCTAAATTCATAAAACCCGATCCGAAAGCCACCATACACTGAAATTTATTCCGTCCTTCAGTCGGTTGTTGGGAGGATTCCGTTCTTGATAACATCGACAAGGAATACTATAGACTCATTCAATATCTTAACGTTAATGCTAGTTGAAAGGTGACAGTTCGGAAGTCTCCAACAGACGTTTGTCTCCAGACATAGACTCTGGAGATGATACGCCAACCTCCGGTCGCAAAAGCTACGACCAACCGCTATCTCACGTCCGAGTATTCAAAAGAATGAAGAAAGGCTGCAAAAGGAGACCTCAAAGAGCAGCAGTTACAGTTGAGGCTACAGAAGCCGGTAAGAGCATTCGGAAGACCAAACAAAATTTCAACAATTGCAAAACATTGGTGGTTGCACTCCGACGCCCTGATGGGATGCAGAAAATCATACACGACTACTATTCGAATGTCCTCAATGGTCACGTTCTCCTGCGCTCATACCAAATAAAAGAGGATGGATATGTCGTTCCACTGTTCTCTCTTCAGAAATCCGACATGACAATCCGATTGGGTCGGTTAAGAATCGAACAACACGAGGTCAGGGCAGGATGATACCTGTATGCGTTATGAATCTTCCGGCAGTCCTCAGATACACTGACTCTAGTCTTAACCTGTTATCTGTTATAATGAAAAGTTCCTATTCAACGGAAGAGCAAGACTGTGCTATTGTTCAAGAAAGGTGACCTTCACGAAATTGGGAACTATCGCCCAATCTGCACACTGTCTGTTGTCTACAAAATCTTCACTAGAGTCATCCTAAATTCCTACTCCTAATCCTAGGATTGACAGAACAGTGGATGAACGACAGCCATGTGAGCAAGCAGGGTTTCGAAAAGGATTCAATCGATGGACAACATCCACACAATAACAAGACTCATCTTCATCGATCTAAAGAAGGTTTTTGACCCAGTTGACAGAGAAAAAGTCGTGGAAGCTCTGGGTATTCAGGCAGTCGCTGCCCTGTATATAAAGATTCTTCGCGGGCTGTCTAAAAATTTCACAACAAGGATATTACCATCGTACAACGACACTGACATCGACGTCAAAAGAGGGGTTAGCCAAGGCAGTACCATCTCGCCAAAAACCGCCACACTCGATAACGTCATGCGAACAATAGTATGAGACAACATAAGAGTGAAAATCGGTGGTCAGAAATTACATCGTCTTTGCTTTGCTGCTGACATCTTTCCTGATAACAAAAACATTAGCTAAGGAGAACGAATGCTTGCCGATTTTGATAAAACCTGTAGAAAGATCGGTCTTCGACTAAATATCGCAAAAACGATGTTCATCAGGAATGGATTAGTTTCGTATGCCTCATTCACTCTCAACGGAACGAATATCTCCGAATGCTCCAATTACGTCTATCAAGGTGGGGAAATCAAAATGATGAACGACTTAGCTCCAGAGTTTAGCATGAGGAAACAGGCTTCATGGGGAGCTTTCAACAGCCTTGAGGATGTAGTGAATAAAACAAAGAACACCCGACTCCGTGCATACCTTTTCGACGCAGCGGTACTTCCTGCCCTAACGCATGCGTCAGAAACCTGGTCGCTGCGCAAGCAGGATGAGAGATCACTCAGCGTTATTGAATGCGCCACCGGACAATGCTAGAGGTAATGCTTGTCACGCAAGCGAGGGAAGGGATCGGAAGCCCCGACCTACATCAACGATCAAAAATCAAAGATGACATTCTACAAGTCTAACTGTTGAAGACACGGTAGGCCAGACTCGTAATGCATATAAACGACACCAGATGGAGAAGAGCCGTTAGGGACTTTATTCCAGGTGGTATAAAACGCACAGCAGAAAGTCCACAACCGATGGTGAGCGTTCTTCACGAAAACTTCAGGGAATCCTTAAATCGAGAAGAATTTATTTGATCTGGTCTTGAACGCGACATGGGGTAATGAAGGACTTAGTGGTGTCCACTTGAATCATTGAATGACTAACGAGACCACAAGTAATGTAGACGATAATCCCCCTGATCATCAAGTGTTGTCTATCAGAAAGTGGCCTACAATTTGTCGGGTCATTAGGAAGAACGCGTTGACACCCATATAATTCACGTGGATGCTTGGACTATACCTTCCTCTTGAATAACATTACCTTTTCTCCTGGATTCTAGAGGTACACGTAACCATTAAGTGATCATCAAAATAAGGATTGAAGAAAGATTTGCTGCTTTGTGAGCCACATTTAATCCTAGATAAAATTCCGCATGACAGTGAACTCCCTCACAGCTTTACTAGTCATACTAGAAGAATAACATACTTTCCAGCGTATTTGTGTGCTTTACATATTAAGACACCAACAAACACAATGTGGCAATAAGTGACTGAAGGCACGGAACATGATTAGGATTAAACAGGATAAAATCAAAACATGAGCTAATTTCGAAATCAAGGAATTTTACAAGGTAATATGAAGAACACTGCGCAAGAATCGCTTATGTCATCAAAGGAGAAATATGGCCACCGCACCTTTTTGTACACTATCACCAATGTGCAGTAGAATAGTGCTGGAAGAGGATTAAGGTTCATTAACCGCTCAATCCCGTCAGCAACTGTCTCCCTGGTCATTGCTCGTGAATCCAAAAGTTCACGGAGATCTGGTAACAGAGATCAACAGCAGTTTACTTAACATGGGAGTTTGTACACGGCTTGAATAGAACTCACTAGCAGTTTGCACCTCAAACTCCTCTGGTGCTGTCGGTTGAACTTTGTGGTATTCATATATCAGATCAGGTGCGCTAAGCGTCGGTTCGCCAGTGTCTACGTCTGTAGCGTTCAGATTTTCAAAGATTTCTATTATTATTGTAGTCAAAATCGCCGACGTATTCGTAACACAACTCACTTCTTCCCGTAAGTAGTCGTTTAAAAACAAGACCAACAGAATTCTGATATGCAGCCTTCAATATAAACTGTGGTAGGATTCGCACGATGTCTTCCTGGAAGACATACATTGAACTAAGCTAGATAACGAGCAAGAAATGCAAGAATTATCTTTCACTTTAGCTTGCAAGTCTTTTCTTTAACGATGGATAGTGGAAATAAGAGCTCTAATAGAAAACGTAACAAAATATCCTACAAACCCTTCGAGCACATCTTAATCTCACCGCACATTCAAGTTTGCTGTGCATATTGACAAATCCTTAAACTCGAGAAAAGCACTCGAGTGAATGGAAGGGAAGAAAAAGGTACTATACGGAAACGCAACCTTATAAACTTTCTTAAGATCGAAGACAATTTAGCCGTAGAACCTTTTCCGACTAAAAATGGAACATAATATGAGTTACCTTGTCAAGACCATTCAAAATTGGAATGAGGGATCGCACGTCCGTCTTCCTAGTTTCGTGCAACTTCTTTATTCGTGAAACGACTTCTTTTGTGGCAATTTCTGCAAAATGACACAAATAAGGCCGAAGGCCGATGATGTCACAAAACCAACCCCAAAAAAGGCGAAAAAGAAAAAACAACTGACGTCTTTCAGTTAGCAAATGAACAACTCGAGCAACAAAAGACTCTGCTCCCACTGGACACTCTTCCAACAATTGTAACATATCCTTGTTATCCATACCTATCGCTTTAATCGAATTCTCAATCGATCGCAACATTATCTTGAAACATTGCAATATAGGCCGTAAAATGTCAATTAACCTCAAACAACCACACCTTTTTGAGCAGAGTCGAAGCTTTCGTGTACACCTGTGCTAAGGGCATTAAAAGCGAGGTATCGAGAGGGAGAATAGCCAGATACAAGTGGATTCCACTACGATACAATGTTTCATCAAACTCGGTCACCTTCTGGAAATCAATTATTTTCGACTACAAAGTGCATGTTTCAAAAAGTGGCAGAAATAGGAACGTATTAAACTACACCCATTTCTGAATCGTGTAATATTAGAAGGAATGTCAAAACATATAAAATAAGCTAGCGGATGTGAGCTTTGTCAAGAGAGTTAATTTTTTTATTTATTGCTTACTACAAGTTTCACAGTAGCGTACTGGTAGACGGAAAATTAGCTGAAAGAAAGGTGAAGCGCAGGACGCGCACGGTGTGTTGGTAAACGCGTTAGTCCTCAGAGAGTGTAATATCCCATATTGCAGACACCTGCCATATAGAGCTTTGCAAATATCTCATCGTTATTGTGGTTTGTCAACAGATGTATTCAATGCATAATCAAAGAAATGGCCGGAACACCTTAGTAGAAGTATGGTAGTACTTAGTATGGTTCTATACAAAACAACAAAGATATTAATAATAAAGGTTTATAATAACTCACCATATACTTGACGAAGTGAGGCGGCGGCTTCGGTAAAGCGCACTCATTCAATTGCTCGATGAGTTTCAATCGAAGGTCACGATGCATGTATTTCAACGAACACAATTCCTTCAAGGTGTCCACACACAAATTTTTCACCTAATAAAACTTATCAAGTATTTATCGATGCTAAAAATAAAGAAAACAATGCGACAATTGCCGGATATAGATACAAAGAGTAATATACCTCCATACGGTCATAGAAACATAGGTTGAAAAGGAGATCGATGAGCTCTGCTCTTTGACGATTTCTCGTTAGCAGCAACTCACGAAGTGTTGTTATCCCGAAAGCTCCGTAAACCTGAAATCACAGAAATCGATTTTCGTCGATCTCTTTTCACGAAATACGCTATTTCTAATTCGTTGTTATTGAACATTTCATAGATCTCCTCAAAACATTCACATTTATCGAAATCAATGCAGAAAATAAACAGCTAAAGATGTGTAACAAAACCTCATCCAAACAAGCCTTCTCTAGGATGTTCAAAGCATTCGAGGTAACCAAAGGGCAGTCGAGAAGGAGTTTATGGAACAACCTGGAAACCTGAGTAATTTATTAAGACACATAAAGAAAGGACATAGAAACCTGAGCTGAAAAATGAGCCATACGCTTCTTTATGCTGTCCCTTGTCTAGTAATTTCTGCAAAAGACTGCAGAGTGTTGAATCAAACTTTCCAAAAAGTTCCGATTTCGGTGCACGGCCAAATGAAGACATGTAGTCGTGATTGAAACATAAAGTGAACCTGAAATGTAACTCTATTAATTTGACATATTAAGTACAGCAAGTACTGAATAATAAAAATCGTGTGAAAAGATAAGAGACCACCACTTAATTGCGAGTTTGGACGAAGTTTACATCACATCTCGTAGCAAAATATAATATAAAGTGTAAAAATACTTGATACTTGAATGGCCCGTCCTCACTAGTTGTGCGGGTCCCAGCATAATCTCCATTTTTCTCAGATTTGCAGATTAAGCCATTGTGGTTCCTTGGAATCCCGAGGTCAGCCGGGCCAAAGCCTGCCCGAGGTATTCATCACCACGAGCAGTCGCAGCCCTTGTGGATCAGAGGGGGATTTCCCACCATATGACTTTGGCATCAGGACGGTGGTGGATCCTGGTATTCGTTTACTCTTAACTAGGCTTTCTTATGTAACGACCGCACTCCCTCTCAGCTTAGGACACCCTACCAGGAGATGAATCCTCCGTTGTATATCGCAGTCTGACACCCAGAAACACCTCCCAGCCACGATGAGACGGTAAACCGTTGGGAGGAAGTGTAAAAATACATTTACTTATATGATCTTATAAACTGATCTTCTTAAGCTGACGGGCACAGGTCTTCGTTGTCGTTGTCGATGTTTTTGATATTGTTGGTCGATAGCTGACGTTTCGGCGACTTCGCCTTCCTCAGAGCCTGGACGTACTTTATGTTAGAATACTTTTTATTATTCGGTGGAAAAAAGGTTAAAGTATTAATCAAGACCAAATTTTCACATAGACCCCATATTGAACAGAAAGGCCTCTCACCGTGATGTTACGGGTGGGACTGGCCCACACATAGTTCACGTGGGGTCGCGAGCAAGACACACTCCGAGGTCAAAATATCATCTTGAAATAGGGCGCCAGGTCACGCGTGATAGTGAGGCATTCGTCTTTCCGGTACATCTTTGGATTTTTGAAAGTTATCCAAAACGCCTCAAGAGTTTTGCTCGTTGTTTTTGATTCCTGTGCTAGGATCAGCACAGTCACTTCAAAATCATCGCCCTTGTGTTTTTGTGCCCTATGCGTACCTAGAGGAGTGTTTAGACGGATTTTAGCTTTTTCATCTAGATGTTCTTCTATGCGGACACGAAGTATCTACCCATTTCCCCAATATATTCCTCGCCGCATGCATTACATGAGATCAAGTATATTATACCTAAACTCATGCAATCTCCGTCTCTCCCGTTAGGACAGATCATACAGTTTTCTGAGCTTCACAAATGATCATAGAGACGGTTTCGAACTAACTGACGGCGTAGAGTATTGGGTGGGATGTCAATAATCGCTACATAATTTTCAAGACCACTTTTTCTTAAGCACTTTTTAATGGCGCGACTTACTTCATTTGATACGAAGGGTAGCCTAAAGCGGATCTTACTTAGGTCGGAAACATTATTTTGGGGAACTACCCTACGTTTTTGTCTAAACCGAGTGGCTTCAACGTCGTAGCCATTGGAAATGGCTATTTTTTGTGCCAGCTTTTGCGATTCCTTCCTCTCCCTTTTTGTTCGAGATGGCGTCTATTTGAAAGTTTGATTTTCATTAATACTTTAACCTTTTTTCCACCGAATAATAAAAATATATTAATGTAAAATACGTCCAGACTCTGAGGAAGGCGAAGTCGCCGAAACGTCAGCCATCGACCAACAACGTCAAAAACAACGACAACGACGACCTGTATCAACCTCGCGTCAGCCTAAGAAGATCAGTTTATAAGATCGTATAAATAAATATATCAACTATCTATTCCGAGGTTTATAGAATGTCGGCCTTTCGAGCTGTAAAAATACAAATATAAAATAACAAATGTTACAATGGCATTGGTAGAAATAGCATTTATTAATGAAATACAGCACCAAAGTAACAGTGCTAATCAAACTGAAGCCAATTGTTCAATTCTTGCACTAACCCCTGGTACTGTGAGTACAACTCCGTGACCCACAAAAGAGCCAGATCCGTCCGATGCCGATGCTGTGTGGTCTCAACGATAAATTCTATTAGTTCACTATGAAGTTTTTCCGGAAGTGGATGGAATCGGGTCGCTATACGGACAAGTACGACATGATGCATAGACATTGTTCCTCCTTGACGAGCGCGACCTGCATTGTGCAAATTCTTCACTTAGCTGGTTACATCTACAGAACCAACTAATTTTTTATTCTTGATGACAACTGTTGGTTTGTAACTCTTTGATGTGTAGCACTGCTCATAAAAGCAATCCAAAAAAACTAGGTTTTTCGAAGGCGACAGATTCACAGCGTGGCTACTCCTAGATCTAAAAAACCTAGTTAAAAAGCTTTTCCAAAAATGTCTCAGATCCATACTAGCTCTAAGTGACCTACGTATAACAACTAACTCAACCCTGCACAGAAATTAAAGAAAAAAAAGCATGCACGCCCATCTAAAAAGCTTTGTCTGGAAAAAAATGAACACAAAATTATGACGCTGAAGGTAATGAGAAGAGAAGTACCAGAACTCAGCAAACGGCCAAAACTAAGAAAAAAAACTAACGTTCTGCCTTCATAATTGTCGTAAAGCAGCTCTCAAACAGGCTTTGTATTTCATCTTTCGTTAACTCCTTAGTGCAAGTAAAAAGATTGAATTGCTGTTTGGCTTTTGAAGGTGGTGGCATTGCCGAAGGTGTCTAAAAAGGCCAGAAATGCTTCACGATTAAGTCGGATCTATCAACGTCAAAACCGAAATCTTACTGGTCCAGGTAGACCGCCAATAGGAACGATAGGAGGTTGAGGAGGTCGTGGTTTTCCGAGGTGCACAGCAGGTGTAGGAGGCACGAAAGCGCCATCTCTTCGAGCAGACTGCCTTTCTAGTAAGAAACAATTTTTGGAAACAAATTTAAGGAACATCGCTAAATATAGCAGCACTATTTAGGCTGACCATACACAAAATGATTTGCTAACGCCCCCGTATAGTAACATGTTTAAACACTCTACACGAATACTCTCTAAAGTATGGCTTACCTATAAACTTTGCCAATTTTTCTTTACGAATCTGTTCGGCACCTGGACCTAACTCCTGTGCTGTTGCCTGAGTGGCCATGCTACGAGCTAAGTGACGACGGTGCTGCTATAACTTAAAAAATCTGGCACTGAAATTATAGTTGTGTAAAGGATAAAGAACAAAGTCCTCAGCATTAGTCAATCCCTGATAGATGGGCGATGCATTTGACTTCACCAAGCATCGTTGGAGGCAACTGAATGCATATCTGGCCTATGCAATGACTCGCCGTGCCCTACCGATGTATCCAGCCAGTAATGCTACCTTACCAGACAAATCTGGTATAAGTTTGCCGACGCCGGAGCGATAGAAGGCATGGTGAGCCTGGGGCGCGCGAACCGATCCCTTGTGCATTGTAGGTCTCCGACCACTGCGCTACGCGCGTCCCCGTAGTTGTGTACGTCTGAAAAAATGCGGTGGTGCATTGTTAATACCTCTGTTCCAGCAGTGGCGATTTGCGTGAAGCTCGATGCGAATGCTGCTGGCATTTCATCGGGTAACGTTACCTAATTAGACAAAGATTATCACAAAATGGTACTTCTTTCCTCAAAGAAATAGAAACGTAGGGAAAAAATATAGCATTCTAATACAAAAACATATGAAAACACGGACAGCCAAGAAGAAGAAAACTCGTGAATTCGAAACGCTTACCAAAGATATCAGTACTAAATTGGCAACAACTTTTGGATTGAGACGTTCATAGATGAACTCTGCAGTGATATCGATAGCAGACTGATGTGCAGTATCCGGTATAGCAGCTGACCCATCAGAACTTGCCGGGTCATCATCTCCGTACTCATCATCGTCAAATACAACTGAAAGCGATTTCCACTTCAACTCGCCACATTGCGATTTCTATGGAAGCACCTAACAAAGTTAGAGGCGGTTTTAACAACACTTAAATAGTTCAAGAGTTTTAGCGAATTGCAAAAATAAAACAAAAGAAAAAAACGGGAAGCCTGTTCGGGTTCAAATGAATGGAATGTTTCCCAGCTAGCAGTTGTCGACCAGAAATTAAATGGTTTTAGTCTAATACAAGGATCACCTCACCACCAGAAGCATCATCGCCCCGAGCTTTCTTCTTAGTGAGCGGCTCGTCGGCCGATGTTGAACGCTTAGAGGCTTTACGTCTTAGCTCGACTATATTTGTCGGCATTGCCTTATTTATTTCCTTAAAATATACATTCTCCAGATTGAAGACGTGAAAATATCTTCATAATTAAAGATAAAAAAGCGCAGCGTACACTTTGAGAGGCTCCCAAATCGGTTAGTAAAGTTGTGATCCTGGGGTGCAACGGTAACGATGAAGGGTGTTTCAGAATCCGCAGCATATGGGCTTTCAGTTCCTTCCGCATGGATTTAACCTAGATGGAGAAATAAAAGACCCGTCCTCAATTACCACGAAGGATAATTAAGATAGAAGTTTGTAATTATCGCGCTTCTAACCAATGGAAGTTTCAATCAACAACACCTGAGAGATCACCTACGGTTACAATACACACCTGACTAGCTCCAAGTGTAGGAGGCAAATTAATGTGAAGAGCTTCTAGGCAATCAAGAATTCGAGCCATATACTCCGGCCTTCGTCTTGAAATAGTACAAAGAACATTTAGAACGGTGAGCAGGTTCTAAAATGGAAAATAGAACACCTAAGAAACATAAGGTAGAGACAGAAACATTAAGTACCTGCTATTAAAAACACTAAAGTATTTAGCCCTTTACACTCTGACAGTTAGACTAAACACCTAAGCATTTCAACTACTAGGACTTGAAAAAAAGAAACCTGAGCGGATATATGAGGCAAGGACGTCTGATCCATGAGAGACTGAAGATTAACTGTTGCTTCGGACTGCAGTTTTCGGTAAGAGATAAACCGATGATCCCGAGGTACGTCGTTAAGTGACATAATATCTTCACCCCTGCTAACGTCGCTATCCTATAAATTTCATGAAAACATATTAGCGACCGAGAACGAATACTCTGTGAATACCTCTGTTCTTAAGGACTGCGATAGTACGATCGCTTCCAGAAATTTGAATGTCAGTGTTCTTATGCTAAAATCATAGTATTATGAGAAACAACAACACAGAAGAAGAAAACAGAGACATAAGCCTACTAATTCTAGTGAATACGCTACCCCTCATTGTCTGAGTCTGCGTGACTCACTATTCTTCCTTTGAGTACGGAAAAAGCATCCCAACACTTTTCGACGTCAGAATCTGCTTTACGACTACATGCCCACTTCAGTATATACGGGTAGATATTTGCACAAACTATGATGACCTGTAACAGAAGTAAATTGTTCTATAAACTCTATAGTTTGCCGTTTATATAACTTCACACGCCTCCCAATGTTTTATCGCCTCATCGTGGCTGGAAGGTGTTCCTGAGTGTCGGGCTTGCGATGTACAGCTAGGAAATTCACCCCCAGCAAGGCATCCCAAGCTGAAAAGGAGTTGCGCGCTTCCACCAGGAAGCCCAGCCAAGAGTAAACCAATGCCAGGATCCACTATTGTCCTGGTATCAAGCTAGTAGTATGGTGGCAAATCCAGCTCTAATCGACAAGGAGTGGGGACTGCTAGTGGTGGTGACGATCTGAGGCAGACTTTGACTAGGCTGACCTCGGGCTCCCACAACGGGTAAATCGACGAAACTCCGAAAACATGGAAATTACGCGGGGGTCCATACATCCAATAGAGACGGGCCGTCCAAGTATCGAGGTAAGTATTAATTCACACGTCAGGAATGGTTTTACAATAATTCCCTCAAAGCATCTAGAAAATGTATCGATTCGGCCAACGATCACTAAGGAATTGGAAACTACAAGCATAAATAAAACGAGATAGCACCAAGCAATATTATACTAACTCACTCGTTTCATAACCTTTATTCCGCCTCGTGACTGATTACCCGACATTAATAGATACGAAAGATTGGTTATAGCCTTCTTGAGAACATCGGCATCTTTCTTACTGAAAAAGTCATCATCTAATTGTTCGTGAATCTGGAAAAAGACAAGGTTCCCAGTAAGATGGCATAAACTAGAAGGAACAACACCCACAACCTTACGAACCCGCTTGAAGGCAAAAGACATCGAGAACTTACCATGCTTTCTCAATGAAGCTTGCAGAAAAGCAACGCATGTGAAAATCATCAGAAGACGTGAACTCAAGCATCTCATCCAGAAAATTATCCAGTAAATGACCGGAATTATCGACGCTTAGCAGCAAGTATTCTGCCTATAACCCAAGAATCGGAATGAATGGAGTGAAAGAGCAAATGAAAGAAGGCAAAGAGGACTTCACCTTGCTGAGCGATTTTAGTTTTTGGCTTAAATCAGATGTCGCCTGAGCTTCTCGTATTACCTCACCAATCCTATCCGCCAACGAGTCGTTGTTTTCCAGAGGTTCCACAAAAATATCCGTGCTCTCCATCTTGGGGAAAATTCTGGAAACATCCGCGCTAAATCGTTTGTAGGGAGGAAGAAGTAAAGTGAAGAGAGCGGTAAAAATAAACATTACACAAATGAGGAATGTAGAAAAGAAAGAAAGAAGACGTCAAGAGAAAAGACAGAACTAAACTTCAAAGCGAAACGAGAAAAAAAGATTTCTAAGACCTCTTGGATCTTCGAATCCAGCTCTTCGGAACTTGTAATACCCTCAAATGAAGAAAACAAGTATGAAGAACCTCTCCGTTCAAAGAATACGAAGCAGCTAACTTCCAACAAACTGAAGTGGGTAGTATATTGATTAGTTAGATTACCTGAAAGTCCGTTTAGTAAAGTAGTAGCCCGCTATGTGCTGGCTTTTCTGATACCGACTGCTATAAGATGGAGAAATGTCAACATGGAAAGAAATAATTCACAGTCGAGAACCGGTCAACAACTATCCTGGTCAAACCGAAATCTCCGGATTCTTCATCTGAGCAATGCTCCTCTGGACTCGGCTCGGTACAACGACGAAGGGCCCCTTCGGAAACAGGAAGAACTGTGGAGCATCGACTCAGATCAATACGGGTCCGAAAACGGTGAAGACGCTGAGACCTTAGCCTAATGACGGCTATATAAGAACCTGGTAAACAATCTAAACAAATATATTCATTATTTACACCAAGTTTAAGTAAAAGTCAGTCTAGTTAGTAAACTCACAAGAACAAACGTAACCAAGTGCTGAAAAATTGGGCATAACGACGTTAAAAATGGTTTGTTTCTCTGAAAAAGCAGACTAAATTCGGACAAGGCATGTTGATAAAGATGTGGAACCTATTTTTCTATAAAAACCGTCATCAAATTTACTATGAGGAGCCAAGCACTTGCAGCATTTGAGCGATCTTCCTCACATTGGTCGTCCACGAAAGGCTTCGAACATTTCCCCGACTACTTCGGCTGCTGTTTAAGGATTTCGTGTTCTTCATGAATGTCGTAGAATTCTGGTCTAGTTGAATCTTCTTGCAATCTTGGAGACAACGGAGCTAACGCGTTCCCAAACGGACTCGAGAAGGGCGTTTAGAAGAAAGTCGAACCAGAATCTTGTTTCATGATGGACTGCGTCGCTAACACAGCGATACCACTTCCTCGTGAAATCTACTATTCTAGATTTCTCCGTAATGTCGTGGAAACGTTGCACGGAATCTAACAGATAGCACAGATAAACAAAGAAGCGAAAAACGGAAAAGTTCAAATTAATAGTTAGTGTCGCCTACGATAGTTTTTAATTGTCTGCAATACACAAGGTGTGTCAGAGTCAAATTTTGGTAGCTGATTGCAGTGGAGATTTCTTGTGTATCTGTGTTTCGTATAAATCGTACTGTAAGTCTCAGCTACAAACAGCGATTACTAAGTGGTACATAGGTAAGTTAATGAACCGCATTGGGGTGTAGTAGATTGCTATATGATCGTAAAAGTATAGGGTAAATACTTGACAGTTATTTGGATACTTGGATGGCCCGTCCTCACTTTAGAATTTTGCTGGCATAGCCATTGCGGTTCCACGGAGTCCCGAGGTCACTCTGGCCAAATCCTTCTCCTTCTCCGTCGTCACCACCACAGACAGTCGCCGCCATTGCGGACCACAAGGAGATTTGCCACCAGGTGACTAGTTTGCTCTTAGTGGACTTCCTGATGGAAACGCCGGACTCCTTCACAGCTTGGAAGGCCCTCCCAGAAGGATGGATCGCCCCACTGTGCATCGCAGCCGGACACCCAATAACACCTCCCAGGCACGATGAGGCTATGAACCGTTAGGAGGATAAGACAAATAAGGTAAAAGAATAAAGCGTTCAACGTTGATCAATTTCTGAAAGGTGCGCTATGCATGCGAGCGACTTCATTAAGCATCGTTGGAAGTGATTGAATGCGTATATGACCTATACGATCACTTGAAGTGGCTTACTGATGTGTCAAGTTATCTGTATAGTTAGCCAATGTGATTTAGTGTTGCTATCCTTACAGGCAAATTTGGTACCAATTGCTCCAGATGGATGAGAGGCCTGGTGAGCTGAGTCGGAGAACTAACGAACAAGTGCGTATTGCAGGGTAGCTCATACCACTGCGCTATCTGTCTTTTTCTAGGTGGTTGAATATTAACGTTACCATGTTTAACGTTTTGTTTTCTGCCTTCTATAATTTTCATGGCAGGTTACTAAGCGAAATACAACCACAAATACAACGTTAAACATTGTGATTTCAACTACAGCCATAGCTTAACTGGGTTCTATGCCGATTTGCGCTCCCCAGATCAACCCCGCTGACGGGTGATTGCTGTGGCAAAAAGATCGATAGAAATAGCTGAGAGACGTGCGAAACAAAGGACCCGCATGGTGTGGTGGTGAACGCGTTACTCCCCGGAAAGGATAATAGCGCGTTCGTTCCCCACCATAGACACCTGCGGTCCAGAGTTTTGCAAATATCTCAGCAACGTTGTGGTTGTATTAACGTTACCGTTCAGTGGAAGTTTAAATAGTCGTGGGAATGGGAATCGTTGGTTGTAAGCCTGTTTAGTTCTTCGGGACTGCTCAATCTTTGCTCAATCTTATAACTATAGCCTCAGCTTAACTGGGTTCAATGCCGATTTGGGCTCCCCAGATCAATCTCGTTGACGGGTGATTGCTGATAGCAAATGATCGATAGAACTAGTTGAGAGACAGGCGAAACGAATGACCCACTTGGTGTGGTGGTGAACGCGTTACTCTCCGGGAAGGACAATAAAGCGTTCGTTCCCCACCACAGACACCTGCGGTACGGAGTTTTACAAATATCTCAGCCTTACAGAAATTATCATTAATGTAACCACAGTGATGGTGAAATATTTGAAGAACTCCGGACCGCAGCTGTTTGCGGTGGGGATCAAAGCCGCCGTTACCCTTTCTGTGGGATAACGTGTTCACCACCACACCAAACGGATTCTTCGTTTCGTCTTTCTCTCGGCCGTGATCATTAATGTTGATTGCATCTACGTTGTTTTCAATACTGGTTGGTAGATTCAAAATCAGCACCGTCAACGAGCAGTACCTTGGATGAATTTCAGAGCTTCCTGTATTAGGAAAGCTGGAGAGGTTAGGTCAAGCACATTATTTTGCTCACACTAGATCCAATGTGCTAAGGAGCTGTGATGAAGGAAAGAAATCTTTAAAGGTCAAGGAAAATGTTTTATTGGATGGCTTTGCTGATCAGGACGAAACGATTGCAGCGATATCTACCGAGTTATCTACCAGCTACGGTGTTAATTCAGTGTTGAGTATCGTGGTGATATACGAATTCGGAAGATTACAGTAGTATTCAACAAGTAAGACGACAATTAATTTGATCTTTAATTTTTTTACCACCTTATTTTATTTCATTTATGTCACTTTCAGTACCATATGTGTGCATCCCAACATTTTTTATTCGAACCGGTACTCCCCAACCGTAAACCATGAAGGTCTTCGGTATTTCTCTGTGGATTCGTGTTCTACTTTCTCTTCATTATGAATGTGGTTTAATGCAGCTCGAATCGATTCTTTCCGAAACCCTGAGTTTCCTCCGCATTGGTTTCCCAGGTTATCAGTTGTGACATGAACGGAGTTTTTCCCTTACAAATTAGGTACTAAATTGCCGACCTCAGATGGGTGAAAAGTCTAGTTGCGTCGGTGCGATATCGAACCTGTGACCACGCACGTATTCCATGGCATCTGTTGCCATCGAATTCCCTACGCATTTCAATATAAGAAGAAACACGATGGCACGACATAACGTACGGCGCGTTTTCACTAGCTTAACAGTTGTCTTAGGATGGGAAGGAGTTCGGTACTTCCACATTGAAGGCAATTTAGGAGCGAATTAATGCTAGAAAACAGTGTTACCTTGGTAGCAAACTCGTTGCAAACTTGTGAATCTCACTCTTTTCCACAAGTGCCGGTGGTTGTATGTTGTGATGATTTGAGAAGTTTCTATGACCGGCTATCACGAGACTTCACATACGGAATATGTTGCTTGAGGAGGAATTTACCCATAAATCTGAAATCACAGGTTCATGCGAAGCCAGACTATTCAAGTTATTCAAGAAAATGTAAGAATTTGAGTACCATTTGTGAAGGAATATCAGCATTTCTTGGAGTGGAACATGGAGTTCCATCACTTGAAATTAAACGTTCAATATTATCTTCACATCTAATCTTCTGGTTTTTCACTATTGATTTGTGTTTTTGCCTTGCTACAATAATTTAATTTTGATGCTTACTTGGCACTTGAGTGGCCCGTCCTCACTGGTTGCGCGAGTCCCAGCACAATCTCCATTTTTCTAAGATTTGCTGACTAAGCCATTGTCGTTCCCTGGAATCCCGAGGTCAGGCTGGCCATAGCTTGCCTTATGTCTTCACCACCAAAGGCAGTCGCAACACTTGTGGACCTGAGGGAGATTTCCCACCATAGGAGTTTGATGCCAGGACGGTGGTGTATGCTGGTATTGGTTTACTCTTAGCTAGGCTTCCTAATAGAAACACCGGACTCCTTCTCAGCTTGGGAGACTCTGCCAAAGGATGAATTTCCCGCTGTACATACATCGCAGCCCGACACCCAGGAACAGCTCCCAGCCACGATGAGGAGATAAACCGTTGGGAAGCTAATCTATTTTACATTTAACAAATTTGTTACCATTGTACACCTTCACATCACTGTAGTTTTTCTTCCTTTTAGCATAGAAACTATAGAAAACCATCAGTAAAGTAAAAGCTTTTGTTGAAAACGTCCTTTTCCTAAAAATAATCGAATATCGATGAATAATAAATCTTAGGCTATGCTGAATGAAAACATCGAAACCGCTCATTACATACCTATTTCCCTTACCTACGTCAATTTAGTATGGATTTATTTATTTATTGCTGGATTTTCGGTCTGCTCGAAGGGCAGTGGTTAGTGCTTTAGAATACACACAGGATTATTGGTTCGAACCCGCGCCTC